TTTTTTTTTTTTTTTTTTTTTTTTTCGAAATGAAGAATATTTTATAAACAACTAGCAAACAAAGTTTAAGTACAAAGGACCTTCCACTAACAGACCAATGACAACTGAAAGAACTAGCACAAAGAAAGTGAGATCCAAACAGGTTGGTCTAATAGGAGAATGAGGGACTAATGGCATTCCATTAGGCAATATAGAATACTGGAGCCCTGGGAGATACCATTAGACAAACAGAATCAACCTAGCAACTGTGAAAAGCACCTAGCTAGATAACAACAAACTGAAAAAACCAAGCTATAAAAAACTAAGAAACAACAGAAAATTCAAGCCATTCAGAGGATGCTGCTCTAATGATTGCAATCTCTGGCTGCCATTGATTTTTGAAGACCCATAATGATGCAGCGTGTGGTAGACAAAAGGGAATAAGAACTCAAAGAACTCAAAGAGATTTTTCATTCAATCGTAAAAACTGCTTTTCTCCCATGGAAGGAGTACAATAAATAGAGACCCAACATTCCTAATCCTATTAGGTTATCATGGAAAGCAAGATAACTAATTATTTAATAATAAAAAGAAACATAAAATAGCTAGGAAATAAATAGGAAATAAACAACTAATAAACTAGATACGAAGCCGGTCGCACTTGTCCAAGAAAGCCATCGCGGCTTCATCTCCATCATTCCCCCCGGGTTGGGAAGGATTCGCCCTCGAATCCGACGCGGCTTCATCTCCATCCGAATTATCGCCAGTAAACGGGACCAAATGTTTGACGTTAAAAACGTCAGAAGTACGAACATGAGAAGGCAGGCGGAGACGGTAAGCATTCGGATTAATCTTCTCGATAACTTCCACAGGACCAATCTTGCGGGCCGACAACTTGTTCTACTCGTGGGCGGGGAATCGATCCTTAGTCAAGACCGCCCAAACGTAGTCGCCAACCTCGAACTCCAAATGTCGACGGCGCGCATCGGCCCGCTGCTTGTAAGACGCCGTCGTCTCCTCGAGTCGAGCACGGGCTGCCACGTGACCCGCCTGAAGGTCGGCAATCACCTCAGCCGCTCGCTTGTCCTCCGAAGCCCGAGATGGTAAGGATAACAAATCCGAAGGTCCGCGAGGCAGCAAACCATAAGCAATGTGAAAAGGGGAGAACCCGGTGGCGCGACAAATAGCCGAGTTGTGGGCGAACTCGGCCTGGCTGAGGCGTTGGTCCCAACTCTGGAGGTTGTCGCCAACCAAACACCTAAGCAAGTTTCCCAACGAGCGATTCACCACTTCCGTCTGCCCGTCAGTTTGTGGATGATAAGCGCTGCTAAAGTCCAGATGGGTATTAGCCATACGCCACAAACTGCGCCAAAAGTGGCTTACAAACCGAGTGTCACGATCCGAGACGATGGAAGAAGGAAGGCCATGCAGACGATAAATTTCCCGAAAAAATAACTGAGCGACGTGGACCGCATCTGTTGTCCGTTTGCATGGAATAAAGTGCACCATCTTCGAGAATCGATCAACCACGACAAAAATCGAGTCAAACCCCCGCTGAGTACGAGGCAAACCCAACACAAAATCCATGTTAATCGCAAGCCAAGGCTGGGACGGAATCGGAAGAGGGCGATAAAGACCGGCATTAGACGCAACCCCCTTCGAGACCTGGCAAACCCGACAACAACTCACAAATCGCGAGACATCACGCCAGAGAGTCGGCCAAAAGAACGACTGGCTCACTAGCGCGACCGAGCGGTCCCGTCCGACGTGGCCCACCCCATGCAGCTCAGCAATAAGCTTAGGACGGAGGCTACAGTCTGGAACACAAAGGCGAATCCCACGAAATAAGAACCCATCGCCCATCGTGTAGTCCTCAAACGGGCCAGCCTCCAAGCGACGCATAATCGGGCCAAAAAAGGAATCGGCCCCATAAACCTCACGAAGCATGTCGAAGCCAACAACAGACACGCGTAACTCGGTCAATAATAACACACGGCGGCTAAGAGCATCGGCCACCTTGTTCGTCGACCCTGAACGATGCTTGAGAACGAATGTGAATTGCTGCAGAAAGGCTGTCCACGAAGCATGTCGGGCAGAAATGTTGTCCTGGGTGGCCAAGTGTCGCAAAGCATCATGGTCAGTGTAAAGAACAAACTCCCGGTGAAAGAGATAATGTCGCCAGTGCCGAACTGCCCGAACAACCGCATAGAACTCAACATCATATGCACTGTAACGAGAACGAGGGCCGAAAAGTTTCTCACTAAAGAAGTGTTGGGTTCGCCTGTAATGTACGAGCTATACGCAGCGGAATTTAAAATTTTTAAAACATGTATTTAACAATTAAATACATAACTCGTACATACATATGGCGAATTGACAG